GTTCATCAGTTTCGCCCTTCAACATTTTTCATTCTGAAGGACCTTTCGAAGTGGCCATTTTTGGTCACTTTGGTTTGGAACAACACTTCAATATGGCAGCTATGATTGTCCGAAGTGTATATCCCATTGCATTGTCAGTGTGCAAAGAATATACACTTATCATGTGATTATCATGTTACTGTTGCACTGACAGTCACAAGATTACATAATGTCAGCAAGGGACTTTTTTACAGTGTGTGAAAGCAGCACTTGGTTTACTATCTGCAGCCATGACATCACAAAATTATTTGGCAGAACAAACTAAAATTTAACTGTCACTCAGATAGGCATAAAATCAAAATGAAATGACCTCAACACTATATCAGACAATTCAGATTAAGTGGTACATTTGTGTTGATTCTTTATTGTAGTTGTCTAACTTGCGTCCTTATACACTAGCTTTTATACAAGCCAATCTTGTACAGGATAAAATCCTGACAGAGAATTCTGAGATTGAGCAGTTCTGGAGGCCCTCATCTGTGCATGTGCAAAGCAGAGCTGCCTCTCCTTTCTGAGCTGCCTATCATTACTAGAAGTTAAACAGATTAAAATGCAATTTAAGTTGTTTTTAATGTGCTTATTTGAAGCACTTTAAAAAAAAATTTTGCTGTGTGAGTAAGAAATTCTGCTAGACATATCCGCCAAAAGCCCCTTTCACACAGCGATACCCGTAAATATCTGGAAAATTCCGGAATGACTTTACCAGTAAATAAATCAAAATAATCAATGTTCACACAGGCACAGACATTCCGGATTTTTTCCGGAAGAGACCATTTACACATCCATTGCAAAATACCAGTAAATTCTGACATCATTGACTAGAAATTAGCTCTAAACGGCTGTGCTTGTATTTACATAGAAGGAATCGAGTTTTTGTTGATGTTTTTACTTTTATTTCAAGTTTTAGCATTCATGCAGCTGCTTTCCCCCAGAAAAATCCAAAGGCAGAGGCGCGACCCACAGCTAAATGTTTACACATTTAACTACTTCACAAATTCCGTGGATGGATAAGCATTGTGAACAACTTATATGAAAACATATAGAGGAAAACTTTCACATGTTCATAATGTGTGTGTGCCGGCACTCACCAGCTCCTTCACGTACACATGCGTCAAGCAACTGAAGCAGAGCTTGAAGGTAAATATACTGAAGGTTTATACTGTTTTTTTAGACAGGCATTATAATTTTTCCGATTCCATGCTTACGATGGTCTTGTTGTGAACAACTACTACCCTTTTTGCATCTTAGTTGAAACGTATTGCTGTTGTTGTTCTTATGTTATTTTCTTCCTTCTTTATGTAACGAACCGAAGATTTATTTATTCTGTATAACGGCTCCCTACATTCGCGTAACATCTACCTTTACCTGTCTAGAAGTCCATTTTTTTATGTGATGGTTAGCACAAGAAGAGAAAACTTGCAAACAAACAGTACAGCACGTCAGTCACGCTGCTAGCGTTCAAAAAGTCAAATGTCAAATTGCACTAAAATGAATTCACAAAACTGCGAGGTCATGAAAGGTGAACTGTGTTATAGCAAGGAATCACTGTATTGACAGGTTGCCATTATCAAAAATCTGAATTAGACAAGTAAAATGCAGTTGATGCATCTGTAGATTTAGCCTTAATCTTATTTTGAGGTAATGCATTAAATAATATTGATTATAAAAAAGCTAAGCAACATATACAGTTGAAGACAAAATTTTACTTTTTTTTAGATAAGTCTCAAGATTATGTTTAACAGAGCATGGAATCTTTCACAGTGTTTCCTATGTTGTTTTATTATTTGTTTTATTTCAGCTAAAATAAAATCAGCATTTAAAAAAAAAAAAACATTTTAATATCAATATTATTAGCCGCCTTAAGCATTTTTCCAGTTGGCGATGGACCTACATATTGTCTTGCTAATAAACCTAGTTAAGCCATTAAATTGCACTTTCAACTGAATATTAGTATCTTGAAAAATATCTAATGAAATATTATGTACTGTCATTATGGCAAAATATGATAAAAATAAATCAGTTATTAGAGATGAGTTATTAAAACTATTATGTTTAGAAATGTGTTGAACAAATCTTCTATCCTTTAAACAGAAATTGGGGAAAATATACAGGGGGCTATTAAATTTAACTGTATACATTCAAACATTGCTTGCATTTCAATGAATCACTCACTTGATAATTTTGATGAATGCATTTTGGACGAACAAAATGGTCTTCTAGGTACATGTGTGGGTTTCTGGAGAAGACATAAGATTGCTTTGGCATCCTCAGTTACCGAGAAAGCTGTTGACTGGCAAGAGAGCAAGGGTGTTTTTGCTGCCGAGGCAATCAGCGGACAGGTACACTTTCCACTTACATGACCTTGTGAGAAGCGAGGCCTCAGCGAGATCTGTTTTGAAGCCCCTGCCTGATTCCCTCAGCTTTAATAAAACATGTGCGAGCGCGCAGCACGAAAGCGCTTTGAGCCGTGGATACTGTAAAAACCTTGTCTGTCAGAGAGATAACAAGGTAGCTCTGGCGTAGTGCTAATTGGCCATTGCGTTCCTATATGCAAAGAATATTTATCACTTCTGGCAGGGCTTGAGAGCATTTCTTTTTTTTCCACTTGAACAGTTTTGCCCTTTGCAAACTGTGAGTTTTATCAGTGCATTTGAAGATGCAAAATGAGATAATGAGTTTTGGAAACATGAGGAAATGTGCCCGCTGTTCCTTTGGGGTAGGATGTTAGGACTGCTTAACAAGCACACACTGCTTAGACTAAATCACAATTTTGACGCACACACTCATTACAGATTAAGGGGGCCTCCGGGGGCCATGGCTCTGCTGCCAGATCCCCAAGACAAAATGCGGTGTTTGACCAAGCTATGAAATGTTTCCCTTGTGCTTTGCTCTGTTTCACAGCATGAATCTGCGACTTCATCATTATAGTTTACAAACAAAAGTCTTTTCCTGCTACGAACGTAATTCATGCGGATAGTATACACGGTACACAGCATGTTAAAGATTCAGTCAAATAAATTGGGTCTTTAAAATCATTTGCTGCTGAATTATGTTACATGATCATGTACCACTGTGATGAAATGACTTCTATTACACTAAAATTTAATTCATTAAATAGAATCTGGGGTCCGTTCTTCGTACATTGATTACTCAATTAGCTTGATTTGGCTATTGATGATTTGATACTATCTAGGATAATTCCAAATGTAATACTTAAAGTATGAACCGAATGCTGATATTTTCTTACAGTAGTAACCTATAAATTACATACACTGAGAAATTTTTTTTTGAATATTATATAAATTTATATAAAATAAAAGTAAAAAAATAAAATAAAATAAAAAATTGTTACACAATCTACACTCCAAAATAAAAGTACAAAAACAAGGGTGTATTCTCTCCCCAAGGAGTTCAAAGAGAACATTTGGTAGCAAGGACATTTTACAAACACATACTACTTTAAGAAACCGACCCATAGTACAATTTGTATATGATAGTAGATGTGGCCAATATTACTGTTTTTTTTTATTGTTTTTTGAAGGAAATTAATAATATTTTATGCAATCATGTACACGTTTTGGACAGTATGATGTTGATTTGAGGCTTCACAAAAGTTGCAGACACCTTTACCAATATCAAACTGCTTTTTTGATGTAAAATGAATTTAAACAGCCTTTTCATAAAAAAAGTTCTAAAAGTAAAAATAAATAAATTGCTAAATACTCTTGACACATAAAAGTGTACAGCATGCAGCCCACAACCAATGTGGAAAGTTATTGTGTATCACATTTAATACTAATTCACTAAAAACTAATTCACTTATTTGTTTGAAAATTGAACTACAAGTTTACATTGTATATTGTTGATTCACTAGTCTCAAACACTCAGAAATCATACTACAATTGTGTTGCAGCATTTGAATCAACAAAAAAGGCAGGTTGAAAATATTTATTCAATGTAGAATAAAACTACACTGGTCACACTTTACTCATACAAGTCATCATGAAATTGGACCACAGTGTTAAAGCATTTATTTATTTTTTATTTATTTAAAAGTGGTAAGAACCATTGTTATGACATCATCCACTGTATGTACACTGTTGCACAGCATGCTATTGATTCCAAAAAGTATTTAAAAAATAATCTGTTCAAAAATCAGACTAAACTGTTCACACTGTTTTTTTAAGAGATGCAACTCTTTTGGGGGTAAATAAATTGAAAGAAAAACAAATACGGAGATCAGTTTTGAGATCATATAAATTTAAGTTAAAAGCTTCAATATTAAAAAAAGTTAAACAACCCTGTCTAGAAATTGCATTAAAACCCACATAATGTTTTCTAATGTAGATAATTAAATGATTCACCACAGTTATACCAGTGTGACCAGTCTCAGCCTGGTGCGTATCAATGACAAAGCCGCCTCAACAATTTCAACTCAGAAAAAAACTGAGACTATCTTCTAAATGACAAGCACAAGCTATTTCACAACGAACCACCCAAGACTCCTAACAATGGCTTATCCAGCAGTTCTTATTGGGTAAAATCTAATTAAACATGCTTCAAAGGACAAAAGCCTGACTACCATAAAGCCGCCTGTGCATGTTGAAATGAAAAACGCCATTAGCGCCCATGTTAGCTCTTATCAAAAAGTCAGAAAAGGTCATAATATGTCATGGTTTTCAAGCAGAGTTGTGAAAAGAGGCTAATTTGGAGGATGCACATGAAGCTAGGGTCATATTCGATGGATGCGCTTGTCTTGATTACGTTCATACACAAGTCTCGCAAGATACCTTTATTAGAAAAATACATGTGCAGTGACATTTGCAGGTCCAAAAGCTGAAGCAACCTGGCAGTGTGCTGCCTGTGTGCCTGAGGAGACACATCTAATTGCATACTTCTTACTTGTCTCTGGTTAACCAAGCATACTGACACTCACCGTTTCCCTCTATCTCTGCCAACAGCCATGGACTCTGCTTCTGCAAAAGGAAATCTGTGTTTTGACACGGGCAAACCCTGCAACCCATGTCTGGATGCCACCAAGGCTTGCAACCTCAACGACACATGCAAGAAACAACGCACTGCACTCTTGGCCACTTGTAGTCCTGCGGCTCCCATTTCACAAGCTCACGAACCCTGCAACCGAAAGCGCTGCCACAGGGGTCTAAGGCAGTTCTTCGACCGTGTACAGACAGAATTCAGCTACCCACTGCTCTTCTGCTCCTGTCGGGATAAAGCATGTGCTGAACGCAGACGGCAAACCATCATGCCTGCGTGTTCGTATGAGGAAAAGTCAAAACCCAACTGCCTTGAACTAAGGAGGACCTGTCGTTCAGATCCGCTATGCAGGTAAGGTTATTTAGTCCGGGTCACGGCACCAGAAAATCAATGAAAAGGTTAATTTTTTTTGTAGGCTGCAGACAATGATTATTTTGATAGTAGATCAAACATGTGCATGCACCATGAAGCTTTTGAAGTTAACAATGACAGTGACATTTGACCTGATGCTACAACTGCCTCATGGTCTAGGTTCATGCAGTCATCTCTGAGTCTACAGGCATTGACTACCAATATAGATGAGCAAAGTTCAGCCAGAAATGATCCTGGTTTGTACCTTGAACGTCTTCCTGGAATATCATGTTCTACATTGGATACTTATGCACTACTCTAAAACTCTTTTTAGAAGACATTGTTTAAGTTGTCTTATCTTTGTCTAGATAGCAAAATGGGAGGAGCTACTATTCAATTTATCTTTATTTCTATAGTGCTTTTACAATGTAGATTGTGTCAAAGCATTGTAACAGAAGCTCTAGTGAATTAAAACTGCATCAGTCCAGTTCAAGTTCAGTTTAGTTCTGTTCAGTGAAGTTTAAATTTCACTGTTGAAAGTCCAAACACTTAGGAGAAAATCCATTGATGCCCAGCTCTACAAGTCCCAAACCTAGCAAGCAAGTGGCGATGGCGGCAAGTAACAAACTTCACCAATTGACGCAAGTGAAGGAAAAAAAAAACATTGAGAGAAACCAGGCTCAGTTGGGCACGAACATCCTCTGGCCAAATTTCTTGAGCAGAGCGGCAGTCTAGTCGCTGGAGGCCCTAATTAGGCACTAATGTTGTATATTATATTTATATTGGATTGTGCAAGCACATTCTCCTATGAAAACAATTTTGCCACCTCCTGATAGTAGCTGAGGTTGAACTCATGATTGAGTTACTTTTTTATACAGGGTTCATACAGTCATGGAAAACCTGGAAAAGTCATATAAATTTGACATGGCTTTTTCCTGGAAAAGTTTTGAAAAAACAAAAAAATATAAAAAGTTTTGCAAAAGTCACGGAAATTAATTAAAAAATATCTGTATACTTGAATATATGTTACATGTCTTTACTTCTTTTCTGTACATAGATCTTTAAGAAAATGTAACTAATTTAAGAAAATTTAAGAAAGTTTAACTAACTTAAGAAAATTTAACTAATTAGATTATTGCGACTTTTATCACATGCTGTAATTAATTCTTATTAATTAACACATATTCATAAACATTAAACATAAGGGCTGCGTCCGAAACCGCCTACTACTCAGAAGGTACTGCATTTGAATTTAAACGTACTATTCGGCCGTTAAAACAGTACATTCTATACAGTATGAACGTGAAAAGTATGAATGGAATTTGGACGTACTACATACTGCATTTTGTCATGGTCACATGACCTATCTGCGTCAATTGCGTAACTTTACTCCCATTCATGAATTCTCTCGCAGGGCATCATGGGATAGCGCAGCATGCATGGGATGTGCACTCCAGAATCTTGCCAGAAGTAGTAAGTCATCCGGGTACTTCTCGCATACGTATTTTCGAATTCTATGAATTCAGACATACTACTCGGCTCGCATACTGATTTTAGAATACTATATAGTATAGAAGTATTTGGATTCGGACGCAGCCTAGGTTATGAAAATTAACTTGAAAGCCCTGAAAAAGTCTTGGAAATTTAGTTGGAAAATATGTTTGAACTGCATATATTGTATAAGTGCTAGTGTGTCTAGTTTGAATTCAGACTTGACTCTACTTTAGACTTGAAATATCTTACATCTTTATAAACGCACACACCTACACACATTTCTATACAGTTAAAGTCAGAATTATTAGCCCATCTTTTTTTCTCTTTTAAATATTTTCCAAATCATGTTTAACAAAGCAAGGAAAATTCACAGTATTTCCAATATTTTTTTCTTCTGAAGTCTTATTTGCTTTATTTTGGCTAGAATAGCAACTTTTATTTTTTTTTAAAAGCCATTTTAAGTCAACATTATTAGCCCACTTAAGCTGTATATATATATATTTTTTTCTGTTCTTTTTTGGTCTACAAAACCATCGTTATACAGTACCTTTAAATTGCCCTTTAAGCTGAATACTAGTGTGTTAAAAAATATCTAGTAAAACTGTATGTACTGTCATCATGGCAAAGATAAAATAAATCTAAATAATTTAATCAGAACCTGAATTGGTTATCTATTCAGAATTGTCTCATTTTGTTTGTAAACAGTGCAAAGACCTGAAGAACAAATATGAAATTTACTGTCATGCATTTGACTGTTAGTATTCGAAGTAGTTGTTGTACAGTAGGCTTTCTATTTACAGTTGACAAACTACAACCTATCATCGGAGGGACAGCAGAAACAGAAAAGAGGTCCGATCAGTAGGTGATCCATAATTTCAACACACATTACAAACAGTGGATCAGCAGGAGACAAATTTGCTCAAAAACACTGTAGAGATTGAATCCATAGGTGGTCAAAAAGCAATCCACTACAAATGGAATGGATATGTAATCTATATAGTCAAGGACACATAAGCCATTAGAAGCTATTATTGACCAGTACAATGACTGATAGCTAGTAGCAATCCCGCTTTGACTATAGGGTTTGATTAGCAGTGTATCCAAGCATGCAATGTCTTGACCCTGTTTTATCACTTAATATCCTGATGTCACAACTACAAAAACTATCGATCGACCACGCACTCCGTGAACATTTACAATCTATTAGCAACATTGAGAATAGGTGTTTTTATTGAGCGGGGATTGTTAATTAACCTGGTATGGTGAACTACAAGGAAATTGATTGGCTGTGTGTCAAATAATTCTCTTCTATTGTAAGCCAGTGCTCAGTTCTCTCCAGTTCATGTGTCATTCATCAAAACCCACCTGGGACTAACAGGGGATCGCCTGAACACAAACTTGTCTTTGAAAGACGCAGAGAAAAAAAAAAAACTTCTCTTACTTGGACTTGAAGTTAGGGGTCAGAAAAAAAAGATTAACTGAATTACGAGTAATAAAGATTGAATTAAATTAAATGCCACATTGCTGCTGTTTATGAAATTATGACATTTATTTCTTTATGTTTTAAATAAAAACACAAATAATGTGTGGTTTGATTTATGTTGTCCAGTTCTTTTTGATCGACTCTTTTAAAACAACACTATATACCTGTAACTTAAAGGTGAAGGTTGTCATTTCTGTCAGCGGGAAATAGAAAAAAAAGTTACACAATGCTCAAACAGCAGCATAATACAACAGTAGTCTGCAGATCTGTATCTGAGTCTTTAATATGGTCGTGTTCACACACACTTTGGTTATTTAGGGAAGTAGCAGCTGCTTTCTGTAACCAAACTCGCAGCCATACATTTCAGCCCTCACAAATTTTTTTGTGAAGTCATGCTGAGTTAATGAAACTACCAGAACAAGAAGTTGCTTAACTAGAATTACTCAATGTTATGTAATGGAGACCAACTGAATGCATCATCCATCTAGCAAGTTTTCAGAGATACAGATATGATTTCTGAGACACCTGATGGTTTAGATCCCCATTTTGATGCCTGCATACAACTCACATTTTACACTCTTTAACAAGCTACAAAATATTCTGTCAGTTAATTATGATTTAACCAACGAAATCGGGCATCGGTTAAACTTTTGTAGCAAAATGTTGTAGGTCCCACACATTACTTAAAGCATACATTAGATCTAATTTTGTCTCATGGAATTGAGGTCATTGATGTAGACAATATACCACAGGGTAATGATTTAACAGATTACTCTTACTATACAAGCTGTGTTTACCTGAAATTAGCAGAGTTAGAGAACTATTTTCAAATGCACCTGCAAATGCAAATGACCTTGATGTGGTAACTAGCAGTATGGATGCTATCTTCACTAACACACTGAATACTATGGCACCCATCAAATAAAAAAGTTAAATTAAAAAGACATTGTATTATTTTATATTTCTGTGATACATATTACAATGTTAAGTATAATTTCACTTGATAACTTGGCCATATTTAGAAAGATTTTGTCTGTTTAGATTGATAAATTTTGAAGGCCGGCACACCAGGATAAAAAAAAAAAAAATCAACCAATCACAATTGAATTAGCACAATAATTGAATTATCAAATGTAAAATAAAACTGTATAGACTTCATAAATCTTATTTTAAGGTAATAACTACATAAATTGTCATGCCCAAATGCGTAAAGCTGGCTTGAAATGCTTACACAGTCACAGACATTAAAAGTACATGCAAATGATAACATTTTTAGTAAGTTTTTGCAAAGTATAACGATAAGACACGTTTTTTTTTTTTTTTAACTGTAACTCTATAGCATTTACTAGACTATAATCCTGACTCCTGACTCCACATTTATGCTGCAATGTGTCTATTCCAAATTCTCACATGGCAATATTGATGCTGAAATGGTAAATTGTGCAGCCCAAGAATGTCGCATTTTACAATTATGTCGCCATAACAACATTTATTCAATCATTTATTTTCTTTCCGGCTTAGTCCCTTTAATAATCTGGGGTCGCCACAGCAGAATGAACCGTCAATTTATCCAGCATGTGTTTTTATTCAGCGGATGCCCTTCCTGCTGCAACCCATCTCTTGAAAACATCTATACACACTCATTTACACTCATGCACAACAGACAATTTAGTCCACCCAATTCACCTGTACCACATGTTTTTGGACTGTGGGGAAAACCGGAGCATCCGGAGGAAACCCACACGAACATAGAAATAACATGCAAACTCCACACAGAAACGTCAACTTACATAGCCGAGGCTCAAACCAGCAACCTTCTTGCCAGAGGCGACAGCACTATCTATTGCATTGCTGCCATAACAACATACATCCTTAAATTATGAAATGAATTTGAAAATGACAAGAACATTTTACCATCTAAAATAACTCGTTTGAGGTTATTTACATTATGTGAGAAAAATGAAGGAAGCTAAAGGTAAATGATCAAACAGGATGGTTTGGTTTAGAGTGAATAACTAAATCT